TCATACCCTGCCATGCCCAGCTGATGCAAAGAATAGAATTTATATCTACACAGAAGAAAGCCCTGTCTAGACTCTGCCCCGGTACGAGTTGTGTCGAGCTATTCTTTAGCCTGTTTGTTTGATGAAAAAAGATGAAATGTAGTTGCAATAAATGTGTTAAGAATCCATACAACTGCAGCAGTGGAGGACTATTATTCTGCTGCATGATACTGCGGAAGAATTGATGACGGCACTATTTGATCTTCGGCTGACCAATCAGCAGAAAGGGGCGTTTAATTCCCGCACACATGTAGAAATCAAATATTCAAGCTGTTTATTCATTTTTCCACCCATGAACGAAAAACGAAAATTTAAGCTGAATTCTCGTTTTTTGGAAAAAAAAACAAAAAAACGAAAAAGGAGCCGTTTTCTCATTTTTCTGCTTTCAATATTAAATAAAAAACCGAATGATCGAATGATACACGGATTCATTTACCGCCACCTACTGGACTGGAGTGTGGGCAGTAGCTTGATAGAAAGGATAAAACTCATAAATACAAACCTCCCAGGAGAACTTGTTGCTCTTTCCTTCAGTGATTATTTATTTAAAATCATCATACCAATACTTTTGCATTGCAATAAACAATGATTAAACAAAGTTTAATAAGCAATAATAACATATTTTATGTGCTTTTCACTAAAGTAGTTGTTATTTTCTAAACAAGCTTGGTGTTTGTTGGTATTATTGTTGTAAGAAAAAGTCAATGTTTGCAAATGGCACTGTTTAAAAATAATCTTAATATAACACAGCTCTTACAACCTTAGCTTGTTTTCGTTCCTCTCAAAAAATAAATAAATATCCTGACTAAAGTTAATCGCTTTTACTTGTGTAGCGCATCGTTGCAAAATAGAGATCCATGTTGTCAACCACATCTCAGCTGCTTGATAGTTTATATTGTTGCAAAATGTATTATTGCTCTAATCTGCTGAATGTGACTATACGGCATTAAGATGTTAACAACATGATTTTAAGCTGCTTTGATTTAGACTATCTGAATAATAGGCCTAATAATAATAAACTATATTTTTATAGCACCTTTAGAAGTTGCTTCTCAAAACACTTTAGAAAAGTAAAAATAAATTGAAATACAAAACACCACGAAAACATGCATCAAAGCAATTTAAGAAGAATATAATGTCAAATTAAACAATTACAAAAAAACACATAAAACCACTTAAAGATTCTGCATGTCTAAGTCCCGGTCACCCACAGAATGTAGATGAGAAAAAAACAGAAAAAAAACAAAACTCTTTTAAAAACACTCTTAAAAATAAAGGTGCTTCAGAAGGTTCTTCAAGCGATGCCATAGAAGAACCATTTTTGGTTCCACAACGAACCATTCAAAGGTTCTTTAAAGAACCATCTCTTTTATAACTTTTTGTAATCTGAAGAACCTTCTTTTGCCACAAAGAACCTTTTGTGAAACAGAAAGGTCCTTCAGATGTTAAAGGTTCTTTATGGAACCATTTAGACAAAACGGTTCTTCTATGGCATCGTGAAGCACCTTTATTTTTAAGAGTGTATATGGGCGGTTAAAAGTTCTGACAGATATTTAGGGGCCAAACCATGCAAAACCTTGTAGGCAAGCATGAGAATTTTAAAATCTAACATTACATGAAATGTTAGATTTTAAAATTCTCATGCTTGCCTCCAATTTTATTATTATTTATTTTTTTTGCATCAACTTTACAACCAAACAAGGTACATAATCACATTCCAGAATATAACCAATCTTATTCAGCCTGGGTTGAGCATAACCAAAAACAGAAAAATAAATAAATAAAAATAAAGCGTCAAATGAACTAAGCTAAACCAGAAAGAACAAAAAAGGATGTTTAAAAAATAAAATACAACAAAATCGGCTTTTAAATTAAATTATATAAATCTAAGAGAGAAGTCGACTTAAGGGCTTTCTGTTCTTAACACATTTTGGATAAAGTTGAGTTTAGATCTAAACCATCTGCACTTGTGAATAAAAAACTTCCCAAAACATAACAGGAAATGAATAATACATTCAAAATCTTTGTTTTCAAGAAAAATACCACACCTGACCACCTTCACATTGAGTGGTGGGAATTCAACATCCCTGGAACATAACCAGTTTCGCATCTCTCTCCAAAAGGTTGTACCATAACACACAAAAAGATGATCTAAACATGATCTAAAGTTTCAATACTCGTTTCACAAAAAACACAATTATATTTCAATCTTAAAAATGTGTTAGGGTAAATCTCACTTAGAATCTTGAAGCTCACCTCTTTAGCTTTTGGAGGGAGGGAAAAAGACAAATCGGTTTTTTCATTTTTTTTTTAACCTATAAAAATCTTTAAACACTATTCCAACCCAAATTGGGTTTGGATAATAAGAAGGACTCATGTGATTAAGGAGTCATGTGATCATTTTCAATGGCGGGACAGAAACCTCCACAGGGTTCATTAAGAATATCTCAATTTGTATTAGTATTTGGAAGATTAACCAAAGTTTGTTAAATGGGCTTGAAACGACATGAGGGTTGGCAAATTATTACATTTTCATTTTTAGATGAACTATCCCTTTAAATGTTAAGACGGCTTGCGGTGTACGTGACGCTCCCCGGAAGGTTACCGTGCAGCGTCAGCACGGCCTGATTATTATTCATGAGCTGATCTAAGCATTGTTGTCTATTGTAAGTGTCCTGCTATGGCGATGCGTGTCTCAGGATGATCTCCGCGCGGAACAAAGACGAGATTGTGCGATTCTACACGGTCACCGACCCCACGACACACAAGAAAGGCTACACGGTGTATAAAGTCACGGCCAGGGTGAGAATAAGCGCGTTTTACCGGCGTGTAGAGCACATGTGCTAACGCTAATGTTTATCTGGAACACTAGCACAAACTAATAAAACATCGGAGTGGATGATTTGATCAAGGATTTGGTCACATGCATGTTTTGAGCTGTGTTTACTGATGTCAAGTAAATCTGAACCGGTCACAGTCAGATGTGTCACATCATATCCATAATCCGGTAATTATTTTTTTGTCTCTGAGGAAAACGCTCTTATTTATAGTCTTCGATCTTTGATTGACACTTGTCAACAGAAATATCAAATCAGTTCATGCGTTATTAATAATGGTGTTTTTAGATGGTGCTGTTTGTTTCAGTTTTTGTATTCTCTTCCTTATTTTTCTCTTATACACGCACACAATAAAGAGCTGACTAAACCAGAATTTTTGTTCATAATGTATCCAGAGGACATTTGCCTTAGTGATGGTCATATTATTCTGTTTCTCCACAGATTATTTCACGGAAGAACCCAGAGGACATTCAGGAGGTGAGAACTCTAAACAAATTCACTCTTGAAATAAAAAAAAATACCTTATTTACTATAATAATTAGGGCTGTGTATCACCAGCAAAGTCACGATACATATCACGATACAGAGGCCACGATACGATACATGACCGCACTGAATTTCACCTGAGCAGAATTTAGAAAAACAGCTGTTTATTAAACACTGCTTACTGTAGTGCCATTTCTAACTATTGGCAGAGCAGGCAGCTGACCTCTGCGTTATGAAGGGCCTCCATAACTATTGTAACACAGTACAATATAGGTATATATGTTTCATATATATGTTGTCATGTTGTACGCATATGTTTCATGTTTACATTGGGCACTCCCCACCAGGTACAATATTCTGATTGTTTTATATCTTGTTTTTAAGCCCATAAATAATAATGTATATTGTAATGTACTCATTCCAATATATTAAAAAAATTATTTACATTGCTGGTAGGTTATCATTGCACAAATTAACACTCTCTCTACAATAAAAAAAAAATGAGAAGAGTTCTAAACTAACGCGCTGTCTTCACTGTATCTAACGCACACACTCTCAAGGCTGATTTATACTTGACGCGTCCGCAAGTTCGCTTTGAGTGCGCGCGACGTCGTTTCGCATGGCGGTGTGCACAACATTTTTTGTAACTTTCCGCGCAGCTCCGCTTCCGAAGATGCACGAGTTCAAAGCGACTCTAGCCGAACATGCACGTCTGTGCCAGCATTTGTGTGAAACAGAAGCAGTTTGATGTTAATTGCAGTCACACACACAGATCACGCTGCGTTGATGAATCATTTCAGGAACAAACTTTTTAGCGCTGCCCGCAGTTTTATAAACTAAAGAGCTTAATCGCTCAAGAGCTACATTATCTTTCTCAACAAGGAGCTGGTAGCATCATTGTTTCTAAAGGAATTAAAACCACAGCTCTACTGTTAATAGAGAAACTAGGGCTGGACAATAATTCAATATGTATCGAGATATCATTTTTTTCAATAACGGTGATATGGTTTTTTTAAACACATTTCCGATATTTCGATATACATTACCAGTGTTTGCCATACATTGATTTATTTGTGGCGTTTGATTTCGTTGAATAAACACGAGCACTTGCACGTTTCAAAATCATAACACGTTGCGAGTGTTTTATATGAATGTATCTCTGAAGGGAACCGACTGTCTTCAGAAAAATTTCGATGGCATTTTTATCTGATAAAGTAGCGTTCATGAGCAGAGCTAATTTGATTACAGCCGTTACTGGAGAAACCGCTAGTTCCACTTCCACCGCTCTCACAGCGCCTCCTGCTGGCAGACAAGCAGTTTGCATTTTCAATAATAAACCCATTTCCATCCTGGTTAATGCACGTTTCAATCTATAAGAATAATCAGCCTACAC